CCCCCGCCCGGGAAAAAAAAAAAAAAAAAAGTCATTTGGATTTAAATAAGCAAATACTGTCTAGATTGAGTCTAGGACTGGATCATTATTGCAGTAATTAATATGTTTCTGGCGTGTTATATGCTTTGCAACAGTTCATATAACCCTACCTGATGTAGTGCATAGCTTTTCGTTTCTTAAACAACCATGTAAGACGTACCCATATACAAATTCCTGGACCCAAATTGTGAAATACTGGTTTAGTGAGCTTGAGGAAACATTTTCATGTATGAATTGGTCACCACAGAATCCTGAGCTTAACCAATTGAAAGTCTTTGGGATGTGTTAGAGTCGACTTTACAGTGATTTGACTCTCCTATTGTCAATACGAGATCTTGGCCAAACATTAATGCAACTTTTGGTGGAAATAAATGTTGTGATGTTGCATAATGTGGTCGAAACAATGCCACAATGAAAGCACAATTTTATCAGAGTTAAATGCAGTCCAACAAAATATTAGAGTGTGCAACTTTTATTCTTTCTTTCCCAGTTTAAGCCTGATGAATCTTATCATGAATCTATATCTTATCATCCTGGAAAATAGACATGGGTACATTTTCCGACATGGTTGTTTGAGAAATAAAAAGTTATGCACTGCATAAGATGGGGTTAAATGAATTGTTACCAAACATTCAACATCCTATACCTATAATGCAATAATGATCCAATCCTGAAATCTTAAGTATTTGCTTATTTAAATCCAGACAGTGACTTTTTTTGGCCAGACAGTGTGTCTGTGTAGTATATGTGTGTGTGTGGTATGAGAGTGTTCAATGAGGCAATAATTATGAAACAGCCAAAAGAAAAAAAGAATGAAGAAACAATATTTTTATACAATTTATTGAATAGGCTCAATTGCATGAGAACAACAGAAAAAAACGTTTGACCCCTAATGCCCAGCATTGCATTTATGCTATGCTTAGAAAAAATGGTCTAAAATGTACGTATGTTCAAGATTTTAGAGCAGGAAAGCCTTTTTCTCATCACTAGACTATTTATAGAAATAATTAAAAAAAAAATGTATATTAGACATCAAATTCTTTAGAAAAAGATACATTTGTTCCAAAAGTGTTAAGAATTGTTAAGAATCTGACTCACATGTTGCACACCGGAGAATCAGCTCCTTGTGACACCTTCTGCAGCTTATAGTTGTATCCCACTTTAAACAGAGTCCTCTGAATGACTGACATCTCTCTTAACTTCCCATTAACATTCTTACAGATACGATCCATGATCTCCTACACACACACACATCAACAGATACATACACACAAATATTGAGTAAAAAGAGGGGAACAAAAATAAAACACCTGAAGTTTTAAATTTTTAAAACTCACCGGTACTGCCGCTATCAGGGTAGGTTTAAGCACAGAGCAATCTCCCTTACCACCGCTTTTTATTTTACTGGACTGCATAGACAAGAACACAGGTCCAACACAGAGAAGATTATATAATAAAGGAAAAGTGTGTGTGTGTGTGTGTGTGTGTGTGTGTGTTACCTGGTCCGTGAGTGTGTGTGGTGAGGAGTATCCGAGCCTGCAGCCATATGACACACAGGATATTTCTGCTGTCAGTTCCAGCACATGAGCCAGTGGGAGATAAGCTATATATGTGTCCTGGGACCTGTATATACCCACAGCAATGTCATTATTGTTACCTAAAACTAAAATTACTAAAACTGAAATAAAATAAAAAAATATATATATATTAGTTGAAAACTTAAAAAAAAAAAAACTTTGAAAACTAAATTTAGAAATGTTGAAATTTTTTTTTTTTTAAATGTTGCCTTGGAAACAGCTGAAATAAAAGTACTAAAATTAAAACAGGAATAAAAATAACTTCAAGCTAAATAGAAATGTTTAAAGAAAACAAAATATATTAAAAAAATGACAAAAACACAAAATTACTAAAACTTAAACTAAAATTTAAATGAAAACTGAAAATATAGAAATAAAACCTAATTCCAAAAATTCATGAATAGCATAATAGTATATAAATAACACTCACACAAAAAAAAGATTTAAGTTGATATTGTGCTTTAAAGATTACTTTGAAAGATTAGAAACTAACTTATATTCATTTTAACAAGCATTTATTCATCAGTTGCTAGTTTACCATAATTTCTTTGCATAATTTTACACTCACACGTCTCCGTCATTCCTTGTGTTTACCACAACATTCAACTACACACTCTGATTCCAGTTTTATTCTACTGATGCATTATGGGTTAACCAGACATGACATGATTTAAGCTGGAAGCAATTTGTCTGTCCGTAGTGTGAACTGGCGTTGGTGTTACTGTTGCTCACCCTAGGCCTGGGATCCGCTCACACTGACCAGCCATTCCTGCAATCAGATTATTGTGTTGCATCTTCACTCCTTTAGGCTTCCCTGTAGACCCACTGGTATACATCACCACTGCCAGATCAGATGCAGTCGGCCTCTCATACTCTTTGCTTACTGAGAGAGAGAGAGAGAGAGAGAGAGAGAGAGAGAGACAAAAAGAGAGATACTGTGTATCAGCTTGTGAATCGATTCAGTTGGGTTGTATATATAATTGTTTTGCATGTTGCTCACAGTTCTCTGGCTTTGTCCCGAGCTCCATTACTTCCTGCATGCTGTGCATGGCAAGAGACTGTGGGTAATCAGCATGACATACTTCATCACTGCCTGCATAGATAACATGCTGCAACCCCGAGACTGCACTCAAAACGTTCTGAGATAGAGAGAAATAGTAATATAACACAAACTTTTAGCCAGACCACACAGATAAGCACAGTTACATTTGCATATCTGTGGCTTTGTGTACCTTCAGCTTGGTCCGCAGCAGTTCTGTGCTGGTGATGAGATGAGTGGCTCCACACTGATTCAGCCCATAAGCTACAGCATCTTCACCCAGAGTTGCATACATCGTTACCACTGCACACATGCAAACATACAATTGTGCTCACAAGTTTAAATAACATTTGCAGAATTTGCAAGATTTGCATATAGTTAAAACAAATAAATGAAGCTGTTTGACATTACAGACGGAACTAAACTGAAAAAAAAAACTTCCAGTTATTATTTTACAAGCTGTTTTGCCAGGGTTGGCCTTTTATATAACGGTTAAATAAACAAGAAGTTATTACTATTTACCACATATTTTAGGCAAAATGTTGCCAGTTGCTTTGCCTGTTTTTGTACTGGTAATGAAAATAGTTCCAAACAAAGTCAACGCACAATTAATTGTTGACATGTAGTACAATACAGCCATTCTAGAAATATATATTTAAACTTCTTTCTGAAGCACATTTTATTTATCTGCAACCTGATCCTTGTGCAGGACTTTTAGGAATGGAGAATATCAAACACAGGCCATCTCGTTCTGAATGGTGCTTCCAAAAAGATGAAAGTCGGACTCCCCATCGTTATTGTCGTTCATCAAGAGAAGTGACTGTATTTTTACATTGTTGCTCATGTATGCTTTCCGTTTAGTGTTGATGAAGTCTTCTACAGTTATTGTAAAAGAATATGTAGAGTGGGGTGTTATAATAGGATAAGATATAAGTATCAGAGTTGGTATTGTCGAAATTTTATAATGAATTTTTTCAACCTAGTTATTCCATAGGTGGTACCACACATGTATGTTTTCTTTAAGAAAACTCTCAGTGTTGTTAAAACTAATAGGTTGAATGAATTATTCACTGGCTCACTGATAAAAACAGTAATTTGTTTAATTCCGGAGTGAATCAGTGTTTTTGAATGAATCAGTTCAGTTAGTGATTGAATAACTTACTCATAAAGAGTCATCTCTGCCACCTGTGTTTAGTGATGTAACCTGCAGAAAGTTCGAGTCACTGAAAAATCCCCACCACTAATATCCACCTTATTTTTCAATGCGGAAGTAAGCTATTTCCTGTGAATGCACAAGAGTTCTGATTCCAATTAGCCTCTATAGGTAAATAACTAATAACAAAGTGGAACAAAACTAACTAACAATTTTGTACAGCTAAAATGACTGGAAATTTGTGAACCAGAGGTTATATAAACTCAAGTAGCTTCTTCTGAGCAGAACAAAACAAATCAAAACATTGTAATTTAGATGTATGATTGTAATTTAGATTTAAACGTGTTTAGAGTAAAAGTAGTGTGACTGTATTACATGGGAAGTTGCGTCTGAAACAGGCCTGTGCTGTAATCATCCATTCTGCCCGTGTTTCACAAAAGATGGCAATGGTATTATGTGGTTGCTGGCCCAAAGCTGCCAGACCACTACCAAAAGATTCCACTGCTTGGCTGACCTCTTCATAGGTCATCCAGCTGTAGTCCCCCAGGACCAACTACAAACAAAAACACACGAGCTTCTATATCAAATGTCACAAATATTTTGACTGTGTTCAGCTGATACGATTGAACTGATACTCAAACAGAATAAACTGAATCAATTAATGAATTTACCTTCTTAAAGATCTTCCCATTGGGTTGTTTATCTTCTTCTTCACTAAGGACCTCTCTGGTGCCCAGACAGGATGCCTGACTGAATCTCTTCACAGCATGTACAAAAAGTTTGTCCAGCGTGTCCACGCCCTCAAAGTCCTGTGTAACGAGAGCATCTGCTCTTTCTACCGCCCGATACGGCCCTTCTGGACGTCCACTTAAACTCCGTGCTCTCTCACACTGGGGCAACATGACCTGTACAAAACATACACAAACCAACATATTTCCATATGAACCTCAACTTACAAGACTTACAGAAAACTTACAGAAAAACAGGCATCCAATTCACATGACCGATAAGATATGGTTATTAAATGCAGATAGCGCAGAGGGGGAAAAGAGGAAGAGTAAGTAAGATTTAGATGTGCGTGTGATTGAATGGCTGAATTAGGAAATACTTCACCACAAAACTACCACTAACGTTTAAGCAACCCTGGGGAAACATCCGTGTTTGTGGTCAACCATAGGCAGGGAACCAAGAGACTAAATATTTATTCTGTGCAACACACACATGCACCCACACACAAAGACATAAGATCAAACTGAAGTGGATGTGTAGGCTGTTTCCCTGGCACAATTATCAAGGCTTTTCTTTAGTGTAATATTAAAAAAGACTTTAATCTGCACAAATAGAGCAGATTATTCTTGCTTTCAGATGTTAACCATAGCTAAGACTGAAACCCCAGTTTCAGAAGCATCACTTGCACGATCTGCAGGCTGCAAAAGAACAGATCATATCAACATACACAAACACACATGCTGCAGCAGCTTAAGTTACAGCAGCACTGCACTATCCAGGAAGGCCACTATTTCCAAACTGATGACATCACAGTTTGGAGGGATTTGAACAGCATGTTCAGGAAGTCAGATGACTCACTTAAATATCTGGAAAAACTCTCCAACTGTCAAACAAACACACATCCTGTATATCATGATATCACTTTTATTTGGCATGATATGTAGCCCTCATGCCAATGCATGCAATAAATTGATTAACAGGGAAAGTAAAGACTTGTAACATTGTTACAAATGTATGTTTCAAATAAATGCTGTTCTTTTGAACTTTCTATTTATCAAAGACAAATATCGAGCAGCACAACAGTTTTGAATATTTATAATATTTAGACATTTCTTGAGCAGCAAATCAGCATATTAGAATGATCTCTGAAGGATCATGTGACACTGAAGACTGGAGTAATGGCTGCTGAAAATTCAGTTTTGCCATCACAGAAATGAATAAAATAAGAAAACAGTCTGACCACTATAGTGTATATTGTTTTTATATATATATATATATATATATATATATAGACACTTTTATAATTTTATAATTATTTAAAATATAATGGTAAAACTTTACAATAGGGTTTCACTTGTTAGCATTAATTAGTTTACATGAATTAACAATGAAAAGTTACTA